CAGGACCTCCCAGACATTTCTATAATTACTCCCAAATTTAAAAAAAAAAAAAAATTTAAAAGATAACCTGAGATAGGCCAGTAAACTAGGGCAAGTGGAAGAGGGAAATTGAGACAGAGTTGAACTGGCAATTTACATCTCCCTAGGGATAATATCTAGGCCTCAGTGGTATTTCAGCTCCAGACCCAGAAAAGCAATAAAACCAGGTGGGTGACACCAGGCCCAGCTGCGACAACTCACAATCCCCTGATCAATCCATGGAGACCATGACCCGAAGGAGCACACCTGAAACCCTCCCATGAGTCCTTCCCTAAGATTCCCACCTACAAAGAAAGAGATAAAAGTGTGAAGACAAAGGACCTAGTATGAGCTCTCCCTCTGGGGAGTAGCTTCCACCAACCCCTTTCCCCTCCTCTTCCCTCACTTCTTCCCTGCCTCCCTCACACACACACACACACACACACACACACACACACACACACACACACCTCCTAAACTATAAGGGATCCCATGAGACTTACAACCAGGGGAGCAATAGGCAGCAGCAACTCATCTCAGGCTAACCCCTGAACCTGTTCCCAAGGCACCCTTTTCTCTGACTTCCCAGAGAGCTTCTATGCTAAGCCCTTTCTTGTCTCACTGTGTCCAGCTTTTACTGTGCCCAACACTTTCATAGCCTGTTGGACTCCTGTTGTGAAGTTTTTCCTGCACAAAGTCAAGAACCCACACATTACTAGCCAACCCAAGGCAGACCTGGCAAGAGCAGGTCCCCTTTCCAGTAGCAAAACCACTGAGAGCTTGGTGAGATGCTGACTACATAGTTTGTGTATTCAGTTTGTGAAAATTCACGGGACTAAATACAAACTACACTCCCTCTTCTGAGTGTACTTTATACAGTAAATACTTAAAAAAAAAAAAAAAGGGGGGGGGGGTAAATGGGTTTTGTTAAATGTTGAGTTGATCATGTCTCTCCTAGACCACCCCCTCTTCACAAATAATAAAGTCCTCTATGATCCCCTTCCTGTTAGATAGGACAAAGTCTCAAGATCAGAGCAGTTCTAAATGTTTTTTCTTGATCAATGTTAAAATGTAGCGCAGTATTTTGTAGATGCAGCTGTAAACTGGATGAGCTGACAGGAAATCAAGGAATGAAAGTAACCAAGTATAGCTTGGCCAGCGTGGCTCAGTGGTCCAGTGTAAACCTACAAACTAGTAGGTCACGGTTCAATTCCTGGTCAGGGCACATATCCAGGTTGTGGGCTCAATCTCCAGCGTGGAACATGCAGGAGGCAGCTGATGGATGATTCTCTCTTATCATTCATTGATCTTTCTCTCTCCTCTTCCTCTCAATAAAAATATTTTTTAAATATATTTTATTGATTTTTTTTTTTACAGAGAAGAAGAGAGAGGGATAGAGAGTTAGAAACATCAATGAGAGAGAAACATCCATCAGCTGCCTCTTGCACATCCCCCACTGGGGATAGGCCGCAACCAAGGTACAGGTCCTTGTCCGGAATCGAACCTGGGACCTTTCAGTTCACAGGCCGTTGCTCTATCCACTGATCCAAACCGGTTTCGGCCAATAAAAATATTTTCTTTAATAATTTTTTTAAAGTAGCCAAGTACAGCCCAGCAGGCATGGCTCAATGACTGAGCATCAACCTATGAAACAGGAGGTCCCAATTCGATTCCCGGTCAGGCCACATGCCTGGGTTGTGGGCTCAATCCCATGTGTGGGGTGTGCAGGAGGCAGCCAATAAATGATTCTCTCTCATCACTGATGTTTCTCTCTCTCCCTCTCCCTCTCCTTTCCTCTCTGAAATCAACAAATATAATTTAAAAACTTTTAAAAGTAGCCAAGTATAAAAAAAGTCCACATATAACTGACCAAATAGTGTGCATAAGCAATAGCTAAGCCCCTCCTGTTGAAGGCAGAACCTTCTGTCTCCTTTACTTGCTGCAAGTAAAACTACCTTGTGATAACTACACCTCCTTTTTGACTATTGCAACCCAGGCAGCAAAGCCCTTGAGTTTGGTAACATTCCCACATCTTCTCCGTGTCCTCCTCCTCCTCCCAGGCCAGTGTCTGCACTCCTGCAGGGCACTGCTGCACTTTCCAACCACCACGTGCTCCCAGGACCGGACCTGCACTGTTCCACGTGCAGCCGTTCCTGACCCATGACACAGGAGTGGCCTAGGCATGACGCACTCCGGCACACCTTGTGACCCACCTTGTGCATAGTTTCTTACATTCCTCATCTGTCCTGAAAGGACGTTTCCGATTGTGTGGGTTGAAAGTCATGCTACCATTAGTCTCATTCTTGCGCTCCATTATGCCCTCCTAGGGGCTCTTGACCCTCCCAACGATTTGTTGCATGATTAGCGGCCTTCAGTTTCCAGGAAACCGCCTCACCCGGTTTGCAGTGGACCCCCACCTGCACCTGGACCCCGGGTTAGTCTGACTGACCTTTACAAGAGACAAGCACATCCCGCTCCCCTGCCCTGCCCCGTGGAAGCCTTTTTTATCTCAGCCCTTCTGTTCTTAGAAATAAATGTATAACTCTTTACCACCTTCGGCCTCCTGCATTCCCCTTCTGACAACTCTACCAGTTACTGAAATTGTCACACTTTATACCGCGGCCTCTACACCGCGGTCCGTCACGTGTGCGCGGCGCGCCGGTCTTCCGTCCCACAGCGCAGGCCCCACCCGCCGGCGCTGCGCCGCACGTCCTGGCAGCTGCGGAAGGAAGTCGGCGAGCGCCTCCGAGCGGAAGACTCGCCGGAGCCGCACTTCTGCGGCACCGAGGCGCCCGGCGTGCGTGGGCGCGCGCCGTCCGTCGGCTGGTGGGGGGGGCGGGGCCGACCAGCGCGCGCCTGACGGACGGGGGTGCCAAAGCGCATGCGCACTCTAAGCGCCCGGCGGGGCGAGGCGGGGAGGCGGGGCCAGAGGCGGTACCCCCGACTTCCGCTGCCCGCTGGTGAGACCGCCTACGGCCTCCGGGCACGTCAGGGCGGAGAACTTTCCTGGCCCCGAGCTAAGCCCCGCCTCTGGCCTGTAGGCGCGGAACCAGGTGTTCCGGGGCCGCAGCGCCCTCTGTTGACTCTCTTAGAAACTGCACGGAGCCCGTGGGCCAGCCCTGCACCGGGCCAAAAGGGGCCGCTAGATTGGCCGTCCCGCGCAGACTCTAGCGTAGTCTCTTTTCAGACACGCAGTCAACTTATGTAAATTTAGTTAGGTACACCCCCAATTTAGTTGCAATGTTAAGTAAAAGAATCCAGATTCAAAAAGGCTAAATGTTACATGATTCTATTTACAACATTTTGGAAAAGGCAAACCTGTAGGAATAGCTCAGTGGTTACCAGGAGCTGGGTGGACCACAAAGGAATTGGAGGGAACGCGGAATGAGGGAACTTTATATTGTGATGGTGGTAGTGTTTATACAACTGTTGTCAAAACTCACAACCAAAAACTAAAAGTGTGAATTTTTCCGAATGTAAGTTAGTTATAATTTTTACAAACACCAAAGGAAATAGAAAGCAGATTGGTGATTGGTGGAGGCTGGGAGAAAAGTAGTGGGAAAATGGAATAATTAGTAAGTGGTCCGAATTGCAGTGTTAAGAGGTTCATTTTGGAGTGATGGAAATGTTTTGGAACTAGAGATAATGGTTCGCAGACCAACGCTCTATCCACTGAGCCAAACCGGTTTCGGCCAGATCCTGAGTTCTTAAATGCATCATGAGGGAGTCTTTCCCTCCTATAGATGAGGCTGAAGTTCAGGGAGGTTACACAAGTTGAAAAAGTAGCAAAGCCTAGATATCAACCAGGAACCCTGAGCCTGTGTCCTTTCTCTAGGAGATAGATTCTGTGGCTTGGTTTCTCATTTTCTCCTTGCTCCCCACCAAGGAACTGGGAGCACTCCTCCCACCCCCCAAAACCATCTTTGCAGAATACCCAGAGTAATCCCAGCGACTGTAAGGATCCAGATTTCTCATTGCAACACCACACACAAGTTGGGGGAGTCACCATGAGCTCACCCACATATAATCTCCTCTGGTGGGTCCACATAGCATCCCATACTCTATCTATGGGATACTACACAGGATACTACACATCCAGGAGACACAATCTAAAAAACAAAGTACAAACTTTATTTTTTTTCTTTATAAAGGCATGGTGGCCTCTTGGTTCCCCCCACACACACTTTCTTAACAAAATATAATAGCTCTCCTTGAACACAAAGACCTCAAAATTGTTATAAAAAAAAACAAAACAAAAAATTAAGAAAAAACAAAAAAACAAACAAAGGGAGAAAAAAGAAAAAACCCAACAAACAAAACAGAGAGACAAAGACATTTCTGGGGGTCGAAGATGGGAAACCTGGAGGGAGAGGTGGAGGTCAGCTGATGGGTGGTGGAGAGTGGCAAATCCTAGTGCTGAGGTGGGGCAGGGAAGGAAGGGCAGGGCAAAAGGGCAGCAGCAAACCCCAACGGAGAAGCAACTTCCACCCCGGACCCCCAGAGAGTCCTGACCCAGCCAGACCCCCAACCCAGTAAGTGCTTAGAGAAAGAAGAAAACCAAAGAGAGGAGGGAAGGGGGAGTAAAAAACTGATGGTCATAGAGCTGGCTCTGGGGAGGGCAGAAATATGTTGGGGTTTTGATTTTCCCTGTTCTTAAAAACATGTTTAAATGAAGAAGAAAAAAAATGCTTTTTGGCAGAGAGAGGCCAGGCACCTCAAGTGTCAGCTTCCCCAGCCCCCCGGGGTGAGGCCCAGCCCCAGGTGTCCCGGTGCTCCCACAAACCCACCACCCCAGCCCCCAGTACCTCAGGTTGGGTGGCCTTCACTCAAAGGTTGATTTACAGTATTGAAAAAGAGGTCATAAAAGAGACCCAAATGACATTGTAATTTTGTAAAAATTCCTCACTCGCTGGCCCGCATGTATTCCCGTGGCTGCTCCGGCCCCCTCTAACCCCAAGAAGGGAGAGGAGGGCTGGGGGTGGTCAGGGAAGTCCCCCGGTCCCAGCCGGCTCCTCCCGGCTCTGGTCCATGGTGTCGCTGTCCGAGGCCTCTGAATCGGAGGCGGTGTCAGAAGCCTGGGCCTCCGGGCAGCTCCGGACTGGCTTCACAATTACAGCTCGCCGCTGCTCCTCCTCCTGCTCCTGCCTTTCCTGGGTGCCCTCGATGTGCTGGATCGCCTGGGGGGGGACAGGCTGTGGTGAGGATGGCTGGAGGGACACAGACAGCCACCATGTACACATACACACACACACACACACACCAGAAAGGTCCAGAAATAAGTCCGGTAGAGCAGCAGGTGGCCTGCCAGGGTCAGGGTTAGTAAACCCCTTTGCTGAGCTGAAAAACCCCTTGGAGACGACAGTGTAGGTCTGCTTGGAGGTCACCAGCATCTTTCACTTATCTATATATTTCAAAGTTGGCCTATTCACTGGTAGAAGATCTTTGATATTAATTTTACTATTCAATTTGCTGGAATTATGTGCAGCAGGGGTTGACAGACTACTTTTGGTTTAGTTGTTTATTTCTTTTACTAGAGGCCCAGTGCACAGATTCATGCACCGGTGGGGTCCCTTGGCCTGGCTGCACCCTCTCACAATCTGGGATCCCTTGGGGGATGTCAGACTGCTGGTTTGGGCCCGATCCCCGCAGGCCAGGCGGAGGGACACCACCAGGGTATGAATCCAGGCCTCTAGTCTACATATATATATAAAAGCCTAATATGCAAAGTGTCCCCTTGGGAGTTTGACCGACCAGGAGTTCCAGCACTTGCTATGGTATGCGCTGATCACCAGGGGGCAGTGTGGAACAAGGAAGGCTCTGGCTGGTGGTCAGCAGCTGGCAGCTGCTAGGGACCCTACCTGTGCACAAATTTCATGAACTGTGCCTCTAGTATGCATATAAGATCTTTGGTTAATCTCTTCCCACCCTACCCACTCTGTCCCCTTTCCTCTGAGATTCATCAGTCTGTTCCATGTTTCCATGCCTGTGCATTGAGTGTCTGCCCCTTGGTGGTCAGTGCACATCACAGCTACCAGTCCAATGGTCAAACAGTCGCTTAGGCTTTTATATATATAGATGATGCCACTGGGACACCCCAGAGGTCTCTGCCCCAGGCTGTGTACAGCAGTGACTTTAGGCCTGATGCACAGAGCTGTCATCTCGTTTCTTCCTCCTCTGCAGGAGGCTTAACTGTCACCCTCCCAGCCGCTGCCACCTCCATCCCCATCTCAGGTCCTGGAAGATGGAGGTGAGAGGAAGTTCTGGACCAAGAGCTGGATGTAGGAATTCTGGAAGCCGGGAGCTCCAGCAGCAAAAGACCCTCTCATCAAACCCCACGTGGAAGGAAGAAACAAAGTTTTCTGGGCATCCTGTCCCCCTCATCTCCACCCCTCACCTTCACAGAGCTCCCCCTCCAATCCCTGCAAACAGAGAGGGAGACAGACACATACACCCAGCTTCCCAATCTTTCCGCACACAAGCCCTGTCTCATTCCCCTTCAGTTCCTGCTTTCTAATATCTCCCTATTCCCAGAGAACAACCCTACATGCTGCCTCCTTCCCGAGACCAGGTACCTGCACGATGGTGTCCAGATTTTGCCGGGACGTGGAAACAGAGTTGATGACCGAGGAGGGGCCCATGGTGACGACGTTGATGTGGTGGGAGGGAGGGGGTGGCGGTGCTGGCACGATCACCGTGGGGTGGTGGGTGGGGGCCGGAGGGGGCAGGAGCTGTGAGACAGAAGCTCTCAGTCTCTCTCCAAAGGTTCAGGAAGCTTCCCCTTCCCCTCGGGAGGTCACAGAGGGTATAGGATGCCCTCCAAAACCATCTCCCTCTGTCCATTCCTTCAAGACAGCCTCTGCCAACCACTCACGGGAGGCCAGCCAGTTTGGCCTCCCTTATTTTAAGCAGCAAAGAAAAGGCAGCCTAAAGAGGGGCTCCCAGACATCCAAGACCTTGTGGCCCCTTCACTGTCCGGCACCACGCACTCCAACATCTAATGCAGTGGTGGTCAGGAATACAGATTTTGGATTTAGAAAGCCAGGGTTCAAGTTATTTAGCCTTTCTATGCCTCAATTTCCTGATCAGTAGAATAGCCTCAAAGGGCTTCTACATGGATTCATGTCATAATGTCTCCAAGATTCCTGGGAACCAAGAATGTCTGCATTATCACCATGTAGGCCCTGCCTGCCACAGCCCACAGCCCCTCCCGCGGCCGCTGCCCACCTGGGTCCGCAGGTGCTGCTCCCGCTCCAGCTTCTCCTGGTGCAGCAGTCGCACCTGCTCTTGCTGTTGCTGCAGCTGCACCTGTTGTGCAATCACCTTGAGCTTTTCAGGGTACATGTGGGCCTCCAACGATCGAACCTGGGGGGAGAGCAGGTTCAGGGGCAGGGCCCGGACCACACCCTTGCACCACCTCCAGTGCGAGGCCCTCGGGGCTGCCGAGGCCAGCCTCCCCATTTTCTACCCTTGCCACACAGGCCATTCCCTCCTGCTGTAAACCCTATCGGGAGCCTGTCATCCTGGAGAAGAGACCAAAGTCCTATCATAGCCCAGCAGGCCCTCTCTGACTCATCCCCTCTCCTGCCATGACCTCCCTCATGCCATCTCCCTCTCTCCTTCACTCCCTCCCTCCAGCCCCAGGGCTTTTGCTCATGCTCTTCCTTCTGCCTGGAGGACCCTTCTCCCCTCTCTGCCTTGTTAATTGTGAGACTGGACCCACCCCTGGCCAACCTCCCATCCTCAGCTCACGTCACTTCGACAGAGAAGCTGTGGGGCAGAACCAGTCTGAACCCCCATCCCAATGCCCATGCTTCCCTTCCTGCCGGACCTTTGTCACAGCTGCATTTTTACAGTGTCAGGTCCTTTGACTAATCCTCCCACCCAACAGATGGTGACTCCTGAAGGCAGGAACCTACCTGGCTCAATCCCAGCGGGACCCCCACCCCCTATTCCTAAACATGGCACAAAGCAGGCGCTCAGGGGAAGCAGGGACAGGAGGGAAGGGAGAAAGGGACTGGAACCCCCCACCCCACCCCGCTGCCCGCCTCACCTGCTCCTCCAGCATCATGCGCACCGAGCGCTCCTTGTCCAGCTGCTGCCGCAACTCGATCATCTCCCTCCGCAGGTCCTCCGCCTTCTCATCCTCCCAGATGTCCGGCGAGCCGATGCCCTCGTCCTTGTCCTCCGCACGCCGCCGCTTGGGGGACGAGCCGCTCAGCTCCTGGGGACCCCAAGGAGTAGGTGAGGAGTGTGCCCTGACACCCTCGTATCACCACCATCAATGGGGAAGTTGGAGGGCTCCGTCACAGACCCCCCCCAAAGCTGTCAACCCGGGTGCTCTGGCACTGGGAGCCCCGCTCTGCAAACCCAACAGCGGCCACAGGCTAGAACCAGAGGCAGGACGGACCAGCTCGCCACTCAACTGCACATCATGGATGGGTACGCGGGAGCCCAGGCAGGAAGGCAAGTACCTGAGGTGGGCGTGCCGGTGGGGAGGGTGGGACCTGTAGCCTCAGAGCCCCAGGCCAGAGGTGAGCCGTCATGCCCATGCCAGGGAGGGGGGGCCGGGAGGACGGCGGGTGCGGGGGTGACGGGAGGCCTCTGCAGGGGCTACCTGGATGAAGCGCTTGAGCTGCGTGTTCTGCTGCAGAAGCCTGGTCTTCTCCTGCTCCAGGGAGAAGATGTACTCCGCCGTCTGCTGGAGAATGGCCGCCTAACGGTGGGAGGGGCGAGTCAGGGGCCCCAGCCGGCTGCGTCTACGGAAGCCCACGTCCTTCCCCCTCCACCTCCTCCAGGAAGCCCTCCCGGCCCTCGCCCACCTTGCTGAGCTTCTCTCCATCTGTGTGGGGGATGAGGGTCTTGAGGGACTGGAAGCCTGCATTGATGCTCTGCATGCGCCTCCGCTCGTTGCTGTTGGCGATCTCCCTCCGAATCCGCCGCTCCTGGTCCCGCTGAGTCTCGGGGGTCAGTGGAATGTTGGCAAGACTGGCCAAGGAAGGTAGGGACATGCTCAGGTGAGGTGTCCTTCACGCCCTGTCCCCAAAGGGCCCTTGTCTTCAACAGTTCACCTTCAGAGAACCCTGGGCGTAGCTTGAATTTCTATTTCTCCCCTTGCAAAGGATGCGAGACCAGATACACCCCAGCAGATCAGGAGGGTGATGGAATAGTGTGCTCTGTGATACCTGGGTATCAAAGTCACTGCGCATGTCCCGGTTCCCAGCCAACAGGTCTGAGAGGGGCCCAAAACCTACAGGGCTAGCTGAGCATCCCTGTGATTCTGATGCAGGTGGGCCCAGGTGACAACTGGAGACACCTGCTCCTGGGAACGCCTCTGAGCCTCTTGCTATGCACCTGGACCACCTCCTTCAGAGTCACAGGCTGGAGGCTGAAGAAGACATCATTCCTCCCTGTGAACCCCCACAGCCACATCTCCAGCCACAAGCTCCTAGGCAAGCCCCCAGCTACCCTGCATAAGACACCAACGACGGCACAGGTAGCTCTCACTCCAGGGAAGGGATGCCAAGCCAACCACCCGCCTAGGGACAGTTCTCCACGCACACCTACTCCAAGAGGCAGACCACCCTGGGCCAGAGAAGCAAGGCTCCCAGCATGCAACGGGCCACGTGACTGCCCCACTTTGTGTTGCATGTTGTAGGAGTAGCAGCCTGCGGGCTGAGAAAGAAGGCAGCCAGTGGAAGGGAGTGAGGCTGTGGGCTGAGAGGCGACAACAGGGACTGTGGGCCCAAAGCCACTGCTCCCAAGGGGTGGGCCTCTGTGTGGCCTCCCCGTCCCCACCCTCTGGGCAACACCCCCCCTTGCCTGCCTGCCCGCCCCTGGCTTGATGGCTTCCAGATGCTAGGCTCCCAGAAGAGGCCACTGACCCCACCCAAAGCCACAGCCCTGACTTCTTCCTGATGCGCGCCCCTCTCCCCCCGGGGTGACTGGTCCAGGCCTGGGCTCGCAGCCTTGGGTCTGAGGTAACGGGGAAAGGACTCGGAGAGCCTGGGCTCACAGAGGTGGCTGGCTCAGCTCTCCCCCTAGGCCAGGCCCCCACGCCCAGCCCCAGGCAGAAAGGAATCTACCTGAAAACCATGAGGGAAACCATCGTCAGTGGCTGGAGACAGCTGAGGCCCTTCCTGGCCCCACAGCCCACCCCATTGGTCCCACCTCAGCTCCCTCAGGACCTGGATTTGTCCTTGCCCCTTCCTGTGCCTCAGCCTTTCCTGGGGATGAGCCAGGAGCCAGCTCTATAGCTGCTGCTCAGGGTCGAGACAAGACCTCTCCTCCACCAGTTCCCCCAGGGTCGCCATGTCCCCCCCAACCCGCTCCCAAGAGCGCAAGGCCTCCAAATGTCAGTGCTGTGAAGGGGGTCCTTTATAGATAGGGCTGAGGGCTCTTAGAGGGGAGGAACACAGTGCTAAAGCCAGACGGCCAGGAAGCTGACTTCTCCCAGAGCCCCTGCCCTGCAGTGGTGGTGACTCACGTGGCCAGAGTAGATGCAGGTCAGAGACCTGATGTGCAGAGGTCTGCCCGACATTTAGGGGAAGGTGGATTAGAACGGAGTCCAGGCTCCTGGGCCTGGCAGTGCCTTCCAGAAGCTCTATGATGGGTGGATCTTTGGGGTAAGCAGGCTCCTGTAGGCACCAATCATAGAGCTTCTGGAAGGCACTAAAATCGAGAATCTTTGGGGCAAGAAAAGATGGAAACGTCCATAGGACGCCAAACCACCGGATGACTGGGTGTAGCAACATCCTCCTCCCGCTCAGGGGAGAACCCCACTCACCCAGTCCCTGGGTCCCCCAGGTGATGCCCAAAGGCTAGAACAGATACAAGTAATAAGGGGTCAAAAAGGAGCCCCACGTCCATCCCTGAGCCACCTTCTTAAGTGCCAGGCCTCACAAAAGGCTTACCTGGAGGGCCTAGCACCAGAGTAATGAGGTGTGGGTGTTTTTTAAAGTTTTTACTGCACTGTGCTAAGGACTCATTCTGCTGGGATTTTTCTCATTGAATTGTCACTATCTTCCTCTGAGTTATGTGGCCCATAATTCCTGGGTGGGATGACAACACAAAGGACTGGAAAAGACCTAGCTCAGCAAGTGTTGGGGCTGGGACTTGAACCTGGACCCCAGGACCCTGCTATTAGCCCTGAGAGGCCTCCCCACAGAGTATACTGGGCTCTGCACTGCCCCACAGCAGCGCATCCCAACGGACAGGTGACAGTGACCCTGCAGAAAGGACCGAGCACAGGTATGCCCTGCCATCACCTTCACTCCAATTAGCATGCACAGAACCTTACATGTTTCCCTCTGACACTCACAGAAACCCAGCGAGGCGTCTGCCTCATCCTATTGCAATGAGGAGTCCAGGGGCCTGTGAGGGGAAGGACATGGCCAAGGTCAGGCAGCCAGTCCGGGGAGCAGCAGGCTCCTGCAGCGCCAAACTCACACTCTTCCCCACCAGCTGATGGCACCCTCTACTGATGGCTCACACAGAGCCCACTGTGTATCAGAGCCCTGCGGATGGCAGCAAGAGGCAGCACCCCGAAACCCTGTCTCTGGCCCCCCAAGCCAGCTCATCTGCCCATGAAATCTCAGCTTTGGGGAGCCAACCCTCTGCCTCTCCCACCTCCTCAGGGTGTCCACACATGGAGGAGACCAAAGAAGACGGCAGAAACCACCGGTGGTTTGGATGTTTCTCAGATGGAAGTTCCCAGAGGGCAGGGGGCGAGACCTATTTGTCTCTGGCTCATTGAAAGCCACCAGCCTGCCTCGTCCAGATGTTCCATCCTGTCCTCTTCAACACCAAGTCCACCAGCCCAGCCTCCTGGCTCAGGAACCGGCTGCTGGTTAACCTAGTGCAGACTGAAGTCCCAGAAAAGACTTCTCCCCAAAGCTACAGTTCCGGGGGGAACTGGGCTGCCACCAAGGCTTTCCCATTCTCGCCAAAACCGGTTTGGCTCAGTGGATAAAGCATCGGCCTGCAGACTGAAGGGTCCCGGGTTCAATTCCGGTCAAGGGCATGTACCTTGGTTGCGGGCACATCCCCAGTGGGGGGTGTGCAGGAGGCAGCTGATCGATGTTTCTCTCTCATCGATGTTTCTAACTCTATCTCTCTCCCTTCCTCTGTAAAAAATCAATAAAATATATTTAAAAAAAAAAAAAAGACTTTCCCATTCTCACTTACCTAAATCGTCCTGGAAGTACCAGCTGACCATTTGTTTTTCTTTTCTTTTTTAAAAGATATTTTTATTGATTTCCAAGAAGGAAGAGCAAGATACAATCATCCATGATGAGAATCATCAATCGGCTGCCTCCTGCATGCCCCACCCGGGATGGAGCCCATTACCCAGGTATGTGCCCTGACCAGGAATCAAACTGTTACCTCCTGGCTTACAGGTCGATGCTCAACCACTGAGCCAAGCTGTCAGACTCCTTTTTTTTTTTTTTTAATGTTTGTATTGCTTTTATTATTTTTTTTATATGTATTTTTATTGGTTTCAGAGAGGGAGAGGGAAAGGGAGAGATAGAAACATCAATGATGAGAATCATTGATTGGCTGCCTCCTGCTTGCCCCCCACTAGGGATCGAGCCTGCAACCCTGGGCATGTGCCCTGTACCAAAATCAAACCTCACACCCTTCAGTACGCAGGCTGATGCTCTATCCACTGCGCCAAACCAGCGAGGGCTGTTTCATTGCTTTTAGAAGGAAGAAAAGAGGGAGGGAGGGAGGGAAGGAGGGAGGGAGAGAAGACAGACCTATTGGCTGCCTCCTGCACACCCTCTGCTGGAGATCAAGCCCACAAACCAGGTATGTGCCCAGACTGGAAATCAACCAGCCACCTCTCAGTGCACGGGTCCAGGCTCAACTAACTCAGTCAATCAGGCCAGAGCCAGCTGACAGCTTCTTTAATAGATGCAAGTAATCAAGGATGCTGCCAACCAGTTCTGATTGGTGGAATGCTGCCTAGCCAGGGATTCTGATTGGTGGAGTGCTGGCCAACCAGGGGTTCCAATAAAGATTAATTGTAATTACCAGCTAATACTACAAATGCATTAAAGCATTTTTGCATTTTTTTTTTTTTTTAGAGTTTTGTAGATGTAAACATGACTTACAGTAACTGTAAAAGTCCTGCACAACCTCCCCATCAACTTCAGAGCCCCCAAGTGAGCAGCAAAGATGGCCTGGGTCCATTAACACCAAATATCTCTTTGCTTCTCTTCCTTCCCCAAATGCCCTCCATCGGACGTGAGGGCAATCTGGCTGCGACATCTGTCACCCCACTGATCTCCAGGGTTGATTCGGCTGATCTGGCTGGCTAGGCGGGTGTCCCCCTCCTCCCTCACCGATCCATGTGCGTCCCTCCCGAAGCTGCGCGCTCAGTCGAAGAGGACGACTTTCCCCCAAGAGGAGAGGACCGGTCTTTGGTCAAGGGTATACGAGTAGCTGCGCTCCCCTGCTAGAACCTCCAAACAAGCTCCCAAGGTCCAAACGCCCTCCGACAGTCTCCTGGGCCTGGCCAAGGACTGCTTTGCCTCAGGAATAAGGGAAGGCACCTACCCAGAAACAGTTCGGGTACCAGCCTCAGATGCCCAGACCAGAGCAGCCCACCCACAACCAGAGTACCTTCAGAAAGCCCTCTGGGAACAACACCAGCATCCCAACCAGAGGCTCGGGGCAGGGAAGTCTAGATCTTGGCCTGTACCTGTCCCTCTCTCTCAATCCAAGGGCAGTACCCCCATCCTCCTCAGACACCCTGTCAGGCTCCAGCCTCAAATTAGCCACGGAAAACTCTCACTTCACACTGTCCCGAAGTCACTCACACACCTGCCACTCAACGATCAGAGGTGAGAGAGCCACACAGGATTTCTCCCATAATCCAAAGGACAGGAGGGAGGAAGACAACCCTCACCAAGGATGCCCAAGGTACTCATCCTTCTCTCTGCAGCAGATACTGAAGCACCCGGGGCCCTCACCCATCCCAGCTG